TAGTAGAAGTAGTAGCAGCAGTAGAAGAAGAAGTAGTAGTAGTAGTCGTAGTCGTAGTCGTAGTCGTAGTAGTAGTAGTAGTAGTAGTAGTAGTAGTAGTAGTAGTAGTAGTAGTAGTAGTAGTAGTAGTAGTAGTAGTAGTAGTAGTAGTAGTAGTAGTAGTTGTAGTAGTTAGTAGTAGTAGTAGTAGTAGTAGTAGTAGTAGTTAGTAGTAGTAGTAGTAGTAGTAGTAGTAGTAGTAGTAGTAGTAGTAGTAGTAGTAGTAGTAGTAGTAGTAGTAGTAGTAGTAGTAGTAGTAGTAGTTAGTAGTAGTAGTAGTAGTAGTAGTAGTAGTAGTAGTAGTAGTAGTAGTAGTAGTAGTAGTAGTAGTAGTAGTAGTAGTAGTAGTAGTAGTAGTAGTCGTAGTCGTCCTAGTAGTCGTAGTAGTAGTCGTAGTCGTAGTAGTAGTAGTCATAGTTGCAGTCTTTGTAGTCGTAGTAGTGGCAGGAGCAAGATGAGGAGCCAGAGCATGCGGAGGGATGTATGGCTCGGCAGCTGCCCGCGCGCGAAGAGACAGCCGCGCCGGGCAGCGCGGGCGTTGTACGCCGCCTTCGGCTTCCGCATGGGCCCCTTCGCCCCGGGCTACTACGATGGGTCCCACGCCCTGAAGATGTACATGCCTCTCGGGCCGATGGTCCGGCCCGCGCTCGCTCCTCTGCGCCGAGTTTGGGTCGAGGCTCTCGGGGTGGTTTTAGAGCCCCGTCCTTTCCTCCACGTCTCAGCGTGCGGCTTCGCGACCTCCTGGGGCACCTCCAGATACATACTCCCGACCCCCGTGAGGCCTCTTCGGGGCCGCGCGGGTCTCCGTCGGGCCCCGCTTGCGCCTTCGGCCGTGCAAGGGCCGCCAGGGGCTTTTTCATGGCAGCCCCAGGAGGCACCTTGAGCCAAGATCGAAGGGGGGACAGGAGGAGGACGGGGAGGAGGGGGAGGACGAGGAAAAAGCAGGAGGAGGAGGAGGAGGAGGAGGAGGAGGAGGAGGAAGAGAAGGAGGAGGAGGAAGACGAGGAGGACGAGGAGGAGGAGGACCAGTGTAATCCCAAGAGTCATCAACGGTGTTGGAATAAACTCTTCCTCGAAGCTCTTTTTGCATAGGTTCACTTGCACTGAGGGAGCTGCATCGTTGAAAGAGCACCGTTGGAAGACGCTGAAGCATGCCAAAACATTATTTTTGGGATTCCAACGCCACGGATCAACCTGACTGTTGCGTCTTGACGATCTTGATCGTTCCCGTACGCCATTCCTGTGACTTCACAACACCACGAATCAACGTAACTGTTGTGCCCTCATAGTCTTGAATGTTTCCAAAACGCCATTTCTGGTACGATGACCATGGGACTCCCTGAAACTCTTGCAATTGTTTATATCGAATGTGCGCGGCGCTAGGTGAGAACCACATTTTCGAAATTGAGCCGCCGCCACTCCGTGAAGCTTTTTGTATTTTTTACAACGAGTGTGCGTGGCGCGCCACATTTTGAAAACCACGCGCCTTCAATCCGTAAAGCCCTTGTAACCTAGTTTTACAACGAACGTGCGCGGCGCTAACGCGAGAGCAACATTGAGAAAACCACTCGCCCTCAATCCATACATCTCTCGCAACAGTTTACAATGAATGTGCGCGGCGCTAAGGCGAGAGCCACATTTTGAAAACGTTCCGCTCTCAATCCGTGAAGCTCTTCCAATTTTCTAATCGAGTGTTCGCGGCGCCAGACGGCGAGTGCCACATTCTGAAAACCGAAGCCCATGCAAGTTCTTGCGACGAATGTGCGCGGCGCTTGGGTGGGCGCCACATTTTGCAAACCACCCGCACATCTTTACAGCGAGTGCGCGCGGTGTTACAAGGCGAGAGCCACATTTTGAAAACGACCCGCCCTCCATCTGTGAAGCTGTTGCCACTGTTTTAGCTTCAGAGTCAGAAGTGATGAGGAAGTCTCATGCGAAACGCCCCACCCGCCCTTGCGACCGGCCTCGGGGGGCGACAGGGAGAAGTTATTTGTAAGAGAAAGGAATGGAGGAGGAGGAGGAGGAGGAGGAGGAGGAGGAGGAGGAGGAGGAGGAGGAGGAGGAGGAGGAGGACAAGGAGGAGGAGGAGGAGGAGCAGGAGGAGGGAGAGGGGGAGGAGGAGGAGGATTTGCGAAGCGGCCGCTAGATGGCTGGCCTCCATTCTTGAGATCCTCCACGAAAGACCCCATGACTGACGTTGGCCTTCTGTGGTCCTGGGAGCTCACCCGACGCCCCGCCCCTGGCGTCGAGCTTTTTTTTCCCAACCATCCTGTGGTGTTGGGTCCTCGTTTTGAAGAGACAGCGCCCCGCGTTCACTCCTTCCTTCCTCCCTCTGCCCCCTCCCTCCTCCCACTTTCACAGCACACCCCTCACACGTTTCGTGGCCCCATAGGAGCTCCACCGAGGGCCCCAGTGGCTGCGTTGGCATGGCGGCACCACGCCCATTTCGGCACACCCCTCACACGTTTCGTGGCCCCATAGGGAGCTCCACCGAGGGCCCCAATGGCTGCGTTGGCATGGCGGCACCGCACCCATTTCGGCACACCCCTCACACGTTTCGTGGCCCCATAGGGAGCTCCACCGAGGGCCCCAGTGGCTGCGTTGGCATGCCGGCACCGCGCCCATTTCGGCACACCCCTCACACGCTTCGTGGCCCCATAGGGAGCTCCACCGAGGGCCCCAGTGGCTGCGTATGCATGGCGGCACCGCACCCATTTCGGCACACCCCTCACACGCTTCGTGGCCCCATAGGGAGCTCCACCGAGGGCCCCAGTGGCTGCGTTGGCATGGCGGCACCGCGCCCAATTCGGCACACCCCTCACACGTTTCGTGGCCCCATAGGGAGCTCAACCGTGGGCCCCAGTGGCTGCGTTGGCATGGCGGCACCGCACCCAATTCGGCACACCCCTCACACGTTTCGTGGCCCCATAGTGAGCTCCACCGAGGGCCCCAGTGGCTGCGTTGGCATGGCGGCACCGCACCCATTTCGGCACACCCCTCACTCGTTTCGTGGCCCCATAGGGAGCTCCACCGAGGGCCCCAGTGGCTGCGTTGGCATGGCGGCACCGCACCCATTTCGGCATACCCCTCACACGTTTCGTGGCCCCATGGGGAGCTCCACCGAGAGCCCCAGTGGCTGCGTTCGCATGGCGGCACCGCACCCATGTCGGCACACCCCTCACACGTTTCGTCGCCGAGGGCCCAGGACAGCGCTTCGTGGCCCCATAGGGAGCTCCACCGAAGGCCCCAGTGCGACCGCCCGCATGCGCCCCGTACGCCCAGGACAGCGTTTCGTGGCTCCATAGGGAGCTCCACCAAAGGCCCCAGTGCTACCGCCCGCAAGCGTCCCGTACGCCCAGGACAGCGTTTCGTGGCACGCCCTTCGTGGCCCCATAGGGAACCCCACCGAAAGCGGAACCTACAGAGCGTTATTCACACTTGCATATGGTTGGGTCCTTCGCCAGGATAGTGTTTTGTTGTTGTTGTTGTTTTGGTGTGTGTTGTTGTTGTTGTTGTTGTTGTTGTTGTTGTTGTTGTTGTTGTTGTTGTTGTTGTTGGTGTTGCTGTTGTTGTTGTTGCTGCTGCTGCGGCTGCTACGGCTGCTGCTGCTGCGGTGGTTGTTGTTGTTGTTGTTGTTGTTGTTGTTGTTGTTGTTGTTGTTGTTGTTGTTGTTGTTGTTGTTGGTGTCGTTGTTGTTGTTGTTGTTGTTGTTGTTGTTGTTGTTGTTGTTGTTGTTGTTGGTGGTGGTGGTGGTGGTGGTGGTGTCGTTGTTGCTGCTGTTGTTGTTGTTGCTGTTGTTGTTGTTGTTGTTGTTGTTGTTGCTGCTGCTGTAGTTGTTATTGTTGTTGCTGCTGCTGCTGTTGTAGGCAGACGAACGGGGACGGACGACAGACGAAGACGACAGGGGGACCCCGCCGACGCACGCCTGCCAGCCCACCGAGGAGGGCCCCGCCACGGCGCCCTCCGCCGCCCCCTGTGGCTGGCGCAGGAGAGGTGGGCAGCCGTCTTCGAGAGGCCCCCCCCCCCCATCGGGAGCTGCTCCTGCCCTGCCCGAGGCCTCCGCAGACCCAGATGTCCGACGCTCCCAAAACATTGGAGCGGGCGGATTCTGGCCGTTTTCGGACTCGGGGGGCCCCGCGGGGCTTCGGGAGCGTAAACAAAACAGCCCAGGACGAAACACGGGCCCCAGGGAACTTGACGAACGAGCGCCACACACCCATACCCATAAGGGCGGTCGTTGGGAGGAGGGCTCGCTATGGGTATGGGCGCGGGTTGTCGGACCCTGGGGAACCGTACCCATAGCCCTCTCCGACCCCCCTATGGGTATGGGTGTGTGTTGTTGGTTCGTCAGAACTGGTCTCTGGGGCCCACGCGGCTGGATGTCTGGGGAGGCGCTCCTGCCTTGCCCGATGCTTCCTCGGTGCGGCGAGGGCGAGGGGGAAGAGGAGGAGGAGGAAGAGGAGGTGGAGGAGAAGAAGGAGGAGGCGGAGGAGGACGAGGAGAAGGCGGAGGCAGAGGCGGAGGCGGAGGCGGAGGCGGGGGAGGAGGAGGAGGAGGAGGAGGAGGAGGAGGAGGAGGAGGGGGAGGAGGAGCATGAGGATAAGTATACTATCAGTAATACTACTATTCGTCGTATCGATGACACGCATACTATTGCTACGACGGTTAATGATAATCATCATCAGCGTAATAACATTAATTGCTACTATTGCTGAACCTGGTAATGGTCGTACACATCATACTCTTACTATTCGTAATACTAATGACAATCGTCCAGGATCACATACTAATAGTAGTCATATTAATAGCCATTATTGCATTATGCTTTGCATGCGATTGCTAAGTCGACTCATGAATACAATGCTACGGACACTAATGCGACGGCTGCTATTCATGTCAATACGTATAATGAGTTCATGCTACGCATCCTGCTAACATCTAATATTGAGTTCATGATACTACTAATACCACCACTCACGCTAATGACGACACTACTCGCAATACCAAACTTTAATCTGACACGCATATTGCTATTACTACCATTAATAATATTCCGACTGACACTACTACGTCGAATGCTAGTAATATGGCTGATGCTCCTGCCACTAATCGTAAACTAATACGATAATGAGAGTTGCAATGCCACCACTACTAAACTCATACGAATGAGTCATGCTGCTGGTGATGGCACGGCTAAGGACAACTCTCACTAACACATACAATACAAGCGGCAATTCGTATTAGCCTTGACATGTTAACACTCGTAAGACTAATAATACAACGTGTATTGTCACTACTACGGATGAACTGACGGATTTGAACACCAATGCTGATCAGACGGGTGTTCATAACAATACTAGCACTGCGAATACTACTACAACCTGATACGACGGACGCGACGAAGAAGAGTATAGGGGAAGAGGGAATCGGAGGAAGGTGAGGAGCGAGAAGGGGAGAATGAGGAGGAGGAGGCGAACACAGCGGATGAGGATGAGGAGGAGGCGGAGGAGGAGGAGGAAGAGGAGGAGGAGGAGGGGGAGGAGGAGGATGAAGAGCAGGAGGAAGAAGAGGAGGCGGAGGAGGAGGATGAGAAGGATGATGGGGAGGAGGAGGAGGACGGTGCACAGGAGCAGGGGCAGGAACATGAGGAGGAGGAGGAGGAGAGGAGGAGGAGAGGAGGAGGAGGTGCAGAAGGAGGAGGGGGAGGAGCTGGAGGAAGGGGAACATGAGCAGGAGCAGGAGCAGGACAAGGAAGAGGAGGATGAGGGGAGATGAGGTGCAGAAAGAGGAGGAGGAGACGGAGGCGGAGGAGGAGGAGGAGGAGGAGGAGGAGGAGGAGGGGAGGAGGAGGAGGAGAGGAGATGAGGATGAGGAGGAGGAGGAGGAGGAGGAGGGGGAGGGGGAGGGGGAGGAGGAGGAGGAGGAGGAGGAGGAGGATGAGGAGGAGGAGGAGGAGGAGGAAGAGGAGGATGAGAAGGAGGAGGAGGAGAACGAAGAGGAGGAGGAGGAGCAGGATGAGGAGGAGGAGCAGGATCAGGAGGAGGAGCAGGATGAGGAGGGGGAGTAGGAGGCGAAGGGGGATGATGCTGATGATGCTGCTGCTGCTGATGATTATGCTGATGATGACGATGATGGTGATGATGATGATGATGATGATGATGATGATGATGATGATGAGGACGAGGATGCTGATGCTGATGATGATGATGCTGATGCGGATGATGATGCTGCTGATGATGTTGATTATGATGCTGCTGCTGTTGATGATGATGATGATTCTGATGCTGCTGCTGGCGATGAGGATGATGCTTATGATGATGGTGATGCTTATGATGATGATGCTGATGATGATAACGATGACGACGACGATGACGATGACGATGACGATGATGATGATGCTGCTGATGATGATGATGATGCTGATGACGATGTTGATGATGATGATGATGATGATGATGATGAGGATGGTGATGGTGACGATGCTGATGATGCTGATGATGCTGATTATGCTAGTGCTGCTGATGATGATGATGATGAGGAGGATGATGATGAGGATGATGAGGATGATGATGATGCTGGTGATGATGACGATGATGATGATGATGATGCTGATGATGATGATGATGATGATGGTGATTGTGACGGTGATGGTGATGATGATGATGATGATGCTGCTGCTGATGATGATGATGATGATGATGATGCTGATGATGATGATGATGATGATGATGATGATGATGATGATGATGATGATGATGCTGAGGAGGAGGATGAGGATGATGATGCTTCATTTTCATCGTTGTCGCCCTCTCGTTCCCTTGCCTCTGCCTTCCCCTGGTCTTCCTTTCCTCCTGATCCTTCTGCTTTAGTTCTTGCTGCTGCTATTCGTCCTCATCCTTTTCCTCTCGCTCATCCTCCTGCTCACCCGCCACCTCCTTCTCCTGTGCGCGCAGCTCCCCTTTTTCCGATTGCGCATGACACGAGTTGGTCTTTCTGTGTGAGTCGCATGTCGGCTATGACACGCGTCCGCGGACAGCAAAAACCCAGCGCCGTGGGAAGGGATGGGAGGGATGGATAGGATGTAAGGTGAGGCGCGAGCGCACCTGGCTTGCCTTACCTCCCTCTGCGCGCCACCAACCCTCGGCGGCGAACGAGGAGGGAAATGAGAAGGAGAAGGCGTTCACAGAAGGCGGGACTTCTCAGCAGCCCTCGCGCCTTCCGAGAAGTCCTCTGTATCTTCGGGGGAGGCTCAACAAACTTCCCAGAAGGCGGGGGGGACTTTTCCGAGCCTTCTGAGGAGGCCCGCCCTTTCTCACTTCCTGGGGAAACCAAGAGGTACCGATACCGCCACTCCCCGGACCTCTCCTGGGGTGCGTTCTGGCCAGGATCTTGAGGCGGATCCAGCGGTGGCGACGAGGGCCTCCCAGGAGGCCCACAAGGAGGGGAAAAACGTGCAAAGGGTATAGCGGGATGGGTGCCTCTTTCTCCTCCGCTTTCCCCCCCGGGCTCGCCGCCGACCCCCCCCCGGGGGAGGGCGCGCGCGTCAGTATCGTTTCACCGACCTACATCCCCATCCCCATCCCCTTCGAGACCCCCACCAACTTACCCCCCAGTTGGGGACACGTCCTCGAAGTTCGGAGGATACGGCGCATATCATATCCCCATCCAGCGGGGCAGATCGGCCAGCGGGGCCCAGGCCACGCCGCTGGGGATGGGGGTCGGATAAAACGATGCTCAGCGCGCCCGCGCCGCGCCCAGGTCCCGGAGAGGGCCGCGCGGCGCGCGTCGCTGAGGGCCACCCCGGGGCCCAGCCTCGCCGCGAGCGCGGCGGCCGTCGCCGGCCAGGTCGCAGGCCTGCGCGGCCGCTCGGCACAGGGGGGGGGCTGTGCCGGAGGGGGACGATCGAGAGGATCGGGCGATCAGCTCCACTCCTCCTCCTCCTCCTCCTCCTCCTCCTCCTTCTCCCTCGTCCTCCTCCTCCTCTCCATCCTCCTCTCCATCCTCCTCCTCCTCCTCCTCCTCCTCCTCCTCCTCCTCCTGTCTCTCCTCGATCTCCTCTCCCTTTGCTTCCTAGTCCTCTCCCCTTCTTTCAGGCTCTCCATCATCGTCTGGATGATGATGATGAGGAGGAGGAGGAGGAGGAGGAGGAGGAGAAGAGGAGGAGGAGGAGGAGGAGGGCTGGGTTTCGGCCGTGTGCCAGAGGGGGACGATCGAAATGATCGGGCGGGTGGTACAGTGGAGGTCCATGCCAAGAAACACCCTGCGTGCCTCCAGGGTGCCCTGGGTTTCTTGGCTTTCGATGGTTCTGGGATGGAAAACGTGGCGTTCCCTCTCCGAAAATCGATGGACGCCCTGGGGTCTCAGGGTTGGGTTTTTTTGTGGAAGGTTTCTCGTGGACTGGCCTCCACAATAATGGTCCAGAACTCCTCGATGGGGTCGGAGTGGATGGGGTCGGAGAATCGCAGCGCACGGCTGATGCATCGCCGATGCGGCTCGATGTGAAGTCCGATTGCCTCCTCGCCGACGTCGCCGATGCATCGCCGAGGTCGCCGACGCATCGCTAGTGCATCGCCGATGTATCGACGTTGCGGCGCGACCCCATCTAGGAGGCCTCTAAATGGTGTGTGTCGGGGTCGACAGACCTCCTACCCTGACACGTCGATTAGTGAATGGTCCGTTTTCGGTTCTCGAGAGGGCGCCGTGGCCGTTATTTTCCAGGCTTGCGCCCGCCAGGTTTGGGCCTCAGGTCGTTTTCACTAAACCACGTTTTAGTAAATGGGGGTCTGTCCATCCCCGAAAGAACATTTTGTGGTTCCCACGAAATGTTCTCAGAACATTTCTGGCTGGGACGGTCTTGTTTTAACGCACGGGGCTAATGTTCTAAGAACATTGTTTTTGTTCTTAGAACATTTTTGGGTTCTAAGAACATTTCGTGGTATGACTATAGGAATGCCGGGACGGTCGGTCCCTGCTCAACCCAAGGGCCCCCGGAGGGCCCTTCTCTCCGCGCCCTCATCTAGATCGAAGGAATCCACATCCCATTAAGCTGTGGTAGGGCCAGAAACGCAAACGAGGTGTGGAAGGTCACGAGGGAGGTTGGTTTGCGATGGCGAAAATGGTGAACTGCTCGTCGGGGTGTAGCAGGTTGCGCGGGCGTCGGGAAAGTGGCGAGAAGGCTAAGGAGATTTGGCGACCATGGGAAAACATAATGGCGCATGGGAACAGTTGAGTGGACATGGGGAATCTTTATTTTGAAAGGGGGAGATGGGACGGACGTGAGGAAACTGGGAAGGCCACGGGGAAATTGGGACGGACGGGCCCTGGAACCTCCTGGCCTTAGCCTTCGGTCGGGCGTGTCCCCCTACAGGTTGATCTTGGACGAAAAATCAAAGATACCCTCAACATGCTCAAACGTAGTCCCCATAAAAAAAATGTTCGAATATTCCTCCTTAGCCGGACGGGCCCCGGAGCTTTCTGGCCTTAGCCGGACGGGCCCCGTGAACCCGCCAGTCTTGGCCTGACGGGCCCAGCGAAACTGCGCGCACTCCTTGCCCAGGAGCCCTCTCCGCCCCCGAAAAAATATGCACGGACACCCTCCAGTAGATTGTTCCTGGGCCTCCAGGGAGGATGGCGATGTATAAGTAGATCACCACTGCGAGCCAGCGACTTTGTACACCGCCGCCCTCCCTGAAGGCACGTGCAAAATCCGTTGGAGGGTGTCTGTGTAGATATTTTCCTGGCGTTCCCCTGGGACGTAGCCAGACGGGCCCTGGAGCTCTCCAGTCTTAGCCGGACGCCGTGGCTGCACGGGTCTCAGAGCCCCGCCAGCTTGGCTGGAGGGAGTCTGGAGCACCCCGGCCTTGGCCGGAAGGGCCCACGGGCCCTTGCGCTTCCCTGGAGTTTTCTGGCCCTGGTCTTGGGGCCCTGAGCCCCCCAGACGGTCGCCCAACCCTCTCCATGGCCATCGAACTTCCCCCATGCTCGCCCGATTTTCCCCATGTCATTATCGTCCCTGTCAACGATCCAGACCTTGCTCGACTGCCCCCATGTCCATCCAAATGCTCTCAGTGACCGCCCAATTTCCGCACGCCTCCGCGCCAATGCGGGAGCTCCCTCATGGTCATCCAACCTCCTACACCCCGAAACACGCCAGACACTCATAGCGAAGGCGCGTGTCCTTAATGGGATGTGGATCTCATCAACATGTAGCTCACCCCCCATGACCACGCGCCCGAGAGTACGGAAGAAATGGGCACAAGCGCCGACACCATTTCAGCACTTGCAGAGATTAAAACTTGAAGGTCTTCTCGGCACTACGTTCTTTATGCACATTCGTTCCCCCAGCAATTTTCAACTCTTTAGGGCCCGCCTCGCTTCCGTCCGATCCCAGTTGTGGCAATGCCTGCTTGGTCAGAGAAGGGGGTGCGGACAGACATAGTGGCCCTCATTCCTCACGCCGTTGCTCGAAGCAGAGAAAGCGGCGTATACCAACTTTAGAAGCTCCGCGCGCATTTCTTGGATCCGCGATGGGGCCCCCTCGTTGCACGTGCACGTGCTACGGGTGTTCATGTTTTACGGTTGCCAGTTCTGGTCTGCATGCGTACGTTTTTTTCTTTTCCAAACGTACCCGTTCCCGTTCCCTTCCGGTTCCGGATAGGGAGATGGTGCGAGTTTTGCGAAGTTGCGAGTTCTCCATGACGCAAAAAAAGCGCCAACACAATTTCCTGTCCATTCTGAGTAGGACTCGGCGTCAGTGCCCCCGCGGATGTGGTCCATTTGAGGCACAAGGCCGCCTGCCCAGTAGCGGCCGCCGTCGATGTTGGACAACCTTTGTTGGGTATCGTACCCGTTTGTTCTGTACTCCGAGTTTCTTAATAAGCGTCGGGGGGGCGTCACCCTCGCCGACAGCCCCCCACAACGACCCCCGTCGCGGGCAGCCACCGCGCGACGAAGGCGCTTCGACCCCCGTCGCGGCGCGACGACGAGGCGAGGTTGACCCCCGTCGGGGGGGACCCCTTCACGCTTAGTAAGAAACCCAGAGTACCCATTTCGGGCCTCCAGAGAGGAGAGGGTGCGGTCAGTATAGCAGCTCGGGGCTCGCGGCGCTGGGGTCAGCTCCAGCCCTGAGATTTTGATTTTTGTTGTTGTTGTTGTTGTTGTTGTTGTTGTTGTTGTGTGTGTGTGTGTGTGTGTGTGTGTGTGTGTGTGTGTGTGTATGTGTGTTTGTGTGTGTGTGTGTGAATGAGTGTGTGTGAATGAATGTGTGTGTGTGTGTGTGTATAGGTGTGTGTGAATGTGTGTGTGTGAATGTGTGTGTGTGTGTGTATGTGTGAATGTGTGAATGTGTGTGTGTGTGTGTGTTTGTGTGTCGTAGCTTTTTCACACCGCGCGACATCCCCTGGGACCAGCGCAGACCGATCGAGCTCGAAAGGTGCCCCAGGAAGCCGTGGTCTGGGGCTCTGGTCGTGCTTTCTCGCGATGCTGCGGGGTGGTTTCGCAACTTCGGGTCTCAGGGAACGGTTCGGTAGCGAGTTTTGGGAGCCTGGTATACCCTCTTAACCCCGCCTTTAGGGTCGACCTGCGTCGATTAGCGCCGGGGAGTCGATGGGATGTGCCGATTTAGCCTTAGCGTCGATTAGCGTCGATTTAGCGTCGACTTAGCATCGACTTAGCGTCGACTAGCGTCGATCAGCGTCGATCCGCCAGAGCTGACAAGATGGTATGGGAGGCTCCCCTGAGCTGCCACCGAAGAGCGGGGTTCAGCCGTTCCCACTTGGCCGAGACCTGGGCTTGGGAGCCACGTGGGGCCGATTCCCCACCACTATTTCCACGTAGCGCTTCGCTTGGGGTTCTGTCGCACATGTGGCTTTGTCGGCCAAGACCAGCTCAGGGGTCTAGCAGAGCCATGCGTGTTAGCCACCACGGAGCCACGCCGCGAGTATTTCTCACCATAAATCTCTCGCGACGGCTTTCCCGGAGCCCGAGCTCCGCTTGTGAGCCACACCCGTGCTGGCGGACCTCCTGGAAATCCCCTGCAGGCCAGGCCGAGGGCCTCACCGCGCGGCCGGCCCGGGCTCTTCGCGGCGGGGCCCCTATGGCCAGCCGGCGAGCGCCCGGGCGTGGCCCCCCGGGCGGTGCGTGCCCGAGCAGCGCGGTGGGGTGCCGCGCGTGTCCTCCGAGATGCCGACCGTCGACGGCCCCGGCGTGCCTCTAGCGTCTGGCAGTCGATGAGAAAGCCCAGGCTCAGCTCAGGAGGGAATTATCCTGGCGAAGGACCCAGCCATATGCAGTTGTGAGTACCGCAATTGTGAATATCTTCTCGGGTGGCGCTCTCTATGGGGCCACGAACCGTATGAAGGTGTACCGAATTGTGTGGCGTAGCCTCTGCAGGGGCTTCCCTGGGAACCCCGACGGCAGCGCCCGCGCGCCGCGACGCCCATGTCGGCACGCCCCACACGAGGATCGCGCCCGCTTCGAAAATGCCGAGGCACCCCCGTTAGCCTTTCCAAACGAGAACGCCTTCGGTGGAGCCTCTTCTGGGCCACGAAACGTGTGACGGGTTTGCCGAAATGAGTGTGCGGGACGCATGCGGGCACACCCACTGGGACATTCAGTGGAGCTCCCTATGGGGCCACAAAACGTGTGGAGGGTGTGCCGACATGGGTGTGCGGGACGCATGCGGGCACACCCACTGGGACCTTCGGTGGAGCTCCCTATGAGGCCACGAAACGTGTGAGAGGTGTGCCGAAATGGGTGTGCGGGACGCATGCGGGCACACCCAGTGGGACCTTCGGTGGAGCTCCCTATGGGGCCACGAAGCGTGTGAGGGGTGTGCCGAAATGGGTGTGCGGGACGCATGCGGGCACACCCAGTGGGACCTTCGGTGGAGCTCCCTGTGGGGCCACGACACGTGTGAGGGGTGTGCCGAAATGGGTGTGCGGAACGCATGCGGGCACACCCACTGGGACTTTCGGTGGAACTCACTATGGGGCCACGAAACGTGTGACGTGTGTGCCGAAATGGGCGTGCGGGACGCATGCGGGCACACCCACTGGGACCTTCGGTAAAGCTCCCTATGGGGCCACGAAGCGTGTGAACGGTGTGCCGAAATGGGTGTGCGGGACGCATGCGGGCACACCCACTGGGACCTTCAGTGGATCTCCGTATGGGGCCACGAAACGTGTGAGGGGTGTGCCGAAATGGGTGTGCGGGACGCATGCGGGCACACCCAGTTGGACCTTCGGTGGAGCTCCCTATGGGGCCACGAAGCGTGTGAGGGGTGTGCCGAAATGGGTGTGCGGGACGCATGCGGGCACACCCACTGGGACCTTCGGTGGAGCTCCCTATGGGGCCACGAAGCGTGTGAGGGGTGTGCCGAAATAGGTGTGCGGGACGCATGCGGGCACACCCACTGGGACCTTCGGTGTAACTCCCTATGGGGCCACGAAGCGTGTGAGGGGTGTGCCGAAATGGGTTTGCGGAGGGGGAGAGAGGAGGGGGGAGGGGGAGGAGGAGGAGAGGAGGAAAGGAGGACAGGAGACGCGGGCCACCGTCTTTTCAAAACGAGGACCCAACACCACAGGATGGTTGGGAACAAAAACACACAGACACAATGAAAACACACAGACACAATGAATCGTCGATCCTCTAGCAAATATGGGAAACAATGGGAAGTGGGGGGGGGGGGCAAGACAAAACCAAAAACATATGGGAAAATATGGGGAATCCGGTTATTTGTGTGTATTTATTTGTGTGTCCCAGGGTCCCTTCATCAGCGCCGATCGGCGTCGATCCGCGTTGATTCACATCGGTCGGCGCGTGTTCGCTAGACCGGGCAAGACGACACAGGAGGCCCCCGTCCAGGTGCCACAGAACAGGCAGCACGCAGGCGGGGAGGTGGCACCGAGACAGGACAATGTTGCGTCGGCACGGTGGCCAGATCCCATCGCGTCGTGAAGCAGCAAACTTTCGGCGGGAGGCTTCTTGCTATTTGCCTGCCCAGGACTGTCACGCAACGACGCAGGACGCGGGACGAAGAGCGGATCCTTGGCAAGCGGCGGGACTTCCGGGGGTCCACGTCGTGAGGTCTGGCGAGGGTCCTGGCGTCGCAGGTCTGGGTCTCAGTATCGTTTATCCGACCCCCCTCCCCATCCCCATCCCCTTCGAGACCCCCCCAAAATTACCACCCCAGCTGGGGATACGCCCCTTGAAGCCCGAATAGGGACGGCCTATATATCCCCATCTAGCGGAGTAAATCGGCCAGTGGGGCCCCGGCCACGCTGCTGGGGATGGGGATCGGATCGACGATGCTCAGGGGGTCTCCGTGCCGCGGGCCTCGGGAGGCCCGTCGCGGATCCCGGGATCGTGGACAGAACCGGGGGGGCCGCCGTGCGAGCCCTGCACCCCCCACCCCCCAGGAGTTCTGATCTGCACGCACGACATGGGTACTGAAAGAATGGGTACAATGCCCAACAGCGGATCTCGTTCATTTTGAACAGGGCTCGCTGTCCACGCCGCCGCGGCCTGTGTCCATTCGAGACAGGAGGCCGCCTGCCCAACAGCGGCCGCTGTCGGTTTGGGGCAACATTTGCTGCTGGGCATGGTACCCATTTTTTCGGTACCCATTTCGGGCGTCCAAATCTGAGGGGGAGGGCAGGGGTCCACCTCCCGCGGGAGCTCTCGAGCGCAGCGACCCCCACCCTCCCCCTCAGAACTCGTGGGGGGGAGGGACGGGGCTCGCGCGGATCCTGGGATCGTGGACAGAGCAGGGGGGGCCACGTGCGAGCCCTGCACCCCCCCACCCCCCGCGAGTTCTGAGGGGGAGGGCAGGGGCCCACCTCCCGCGGGCGGGAGCTCTCGAGCGCAGCGACCCCCACCCTCCCCCTCGGAACTCGTGGGGGGTGGGGGTACAGGGTTCGCGCGGTGGCCCCCCTGCGGGAGGGGCCCGCGGGACGGCCCTCGAGGGCGGGGGTCGGGAGTCCTGGGGGCCCGCCTATGGAACGGATGCTCGTGCGGAGGAGGAGGAGGAGGAGGAGGAGGAGGAGGAGGAGGAGGAGGAGAAGGAGGAGGAGGAGGAGGAGGAGGAGGAGGAGGAGGAGGAGGGGGAGGGGGAGGAGGAGGAGGAGGAGGAGGAGGAGGAGGATGAGATGAGATGAGACGATTCCCAGGAGGACTGTCCGAGGAGAGAGGGGCCAGCCCGCAATACTTGTGCGGGCGGGTGCACCTTCGGGGGGAGATTTTGTGAGGCCGAGAGTGGTGGACACTAGCCACTCTCGGCGCTCGCGACAGGTGCACCCGCTCCGAGAAACTTAAACCTGGCGGCTGTTCTCGCGAGCTCGAACCCGCTCCAGCAAGCGAGCCATTCGAGCTTCATACGGGATTGCACTGTCGACCGAGTATTCGACGACTGACGTCGACGCTCTGACATCCCGCGCGCTAGCCACTGTGAGACCGACGCGAGGGGCAGGGACGGCTCGGTCGATCAACGCACGAATTCGGGGATTCGGGGCGAGCCCTCTCCGAAAACGAGACAATCTCATTTTACCAGTGTTGGTGGAGGGGGCGCAGGGCTTGCTCAACTGGAGGAGGAGGAGGAGGAGGAGGAGGAGGAGGAGGAGGAGGAGGAGGAGGAGGAGGAGGAGGAGGGGGAGGAGGAGGGAGGAGGGAGGTCTGGAAGGGCGACTGGTGCTTCCCGTGTCCAGCTTGGGGCTTTCTTATTGTCCCGCCTGGGGCTGCCTGAGCCCCTGGGGGCGGTGGTGTGTGCCTTTCCGTGCCGCCCGTCTTGTTTTGTGATGTAGCTACTGCTGGACGAGCGGTATCATGCAGGGCTGGACCTAAACTGTGTTTTGGCGATTTCGTGGGTCGTTTTCGTTTCGACTTCGTTTTGCGGTAAAACGAGGGAAAACGAACACACAACAAAAACGAACAACTCCGTTTAGGCTCAGCCCTGGTGAGTGCCTTTCTGTGTCGCCCGTCTTGTTTTCTGACGTATCTGCTGCTGGACGAGCGATATCTCGGTTTGTAGACGAAGGTGCCCCCTCAGTGATGCACGCTCAGTCTTGTGGATTTGTCAGCAGGTCTCACTCTGACTTATCCGTGTCTCCGTGTCCGTCATGCTTGGAGGATGCGCCAGCATGTGCACGTGCCATCGTGCGCACACGTGCGTCTGGGGAACAACATCCTCAACCGTATCCGAATTATCTTCCTAACGGATCTCCGAACCTATATCTTGACACACATCCGAATGATTGTTCCAGACGATATCCTAGCCAAGGTCCTGCACGCCATTCTAATACATGCCATGATCTGCATCGTGATTCATATCATACATCATGTCCTAGACAGCTCACTAACCAGTATCCCAAACACATGCCTTAGCGATATCCGAGCCAATACCGTAAACGTTGTTCTGCAATTTCAAGCACAATACCCTAATCAATGTTAGAACACATATCACACACCATGCCCTAAGCAACACATAAGCAACATCTTCAACACACGTTTCTAGCCATACTCCTGAGTACTGTTCAGGCACGTGACCTGGAAACATATCACACACTATGCCAGGCATTATCACCAACACGAGTTCCCAGGCCACCTGAAACCGTACACTAAACAACATCGCGACCACTACCTTTAATAATACCCACATTGCCTCAGGTTGACGTCAATGTGATCTTACAATGGCCTCAATTCTGACATCAACATGGCTTCGATATTATCCCAATCTGGTCCGTAGCCATCTTGGCTCAAGGCGTTTTGGCTCAAGCGAGGTGCGCGTCGCCCAGTCGACTGATTCGCCAGGGCTCGGGCCCAAGGTACGCCGTGGTCGGTCCGAATGGCCGATGGCGACGAGTTCTACGTGCGGTACTACGTGGGCCACAAGGGGAAGTTCGGTCACGAGTTCTTGGAGTTCGAGTTCAGGCCGGATGGTCGCCTCCGGTACGCGAACGATTCGAATTATAAAAACGAGAAGATGATACGAAAGGAATGCTACGTGACTCAGGCAGTGATGCGTGAGCTCCGGAAGACCATCGAGGACAGCGAGATCCTGAAGGAGGACGACAACCACTGGCCCGCTCCAGACCGGGTCGGGAGGCAGGAGCTGGAGGTCGTCTGCGGCAAGGAGCACATCTCCTTCACCACGTCGAAGATCGGCTCCTTGGCCGATGTGCAGGCCTCCAAGGACCCGGAGGGGCTGCGCGTGTTTTACTACCTGGTCCAGGACCTGAAGTGTTTCGTGTTCAGCCTCATAGGCCTCCACTTCCGCATCAAGCCAGTGTAATAGGCGCAAGCCGCCGGGCTGCTGGACCCCCCCCCCCGCCGGCCCTGGCCCGGCCGCCCCCGCCGGCCCCGGGGCCGGGGCCCTCGAGGGCCGCGCCCCCGCAGAGGTCGGCGGGCAGGGGAGGGGGGGGGGGCCGCATATGCGAACCCTGGCCCCCGCGCCCCACGATTTCTGGGGGGGGGGGGGGGCTCACACTTCGCTCGGGAGCGCTCTCGAGCGAAGTGGCACCCCGCCCTCCCCCTCCGAGCTCGTGGGGGGTGGGGGCGCAGGGCTCGCACGGTGGCCCCCCTGGGGGGGGGCCGGGGCAGACGGACGCCGGGCCCCGCGGGGCGCGGGGGGGAGGGCGCAGGCGGCGCAGGCGCCGGCCGACGGGCCCCGCGGGGCGCCGCGGGGTGCCGCGGGGTGCGGGCGCGGGCGCCCGCGCGCGCCCCTGAGAGGCCCTCGAGGGCGGAGGGCCGGGTGGCGGCGCGCGGAGGGGGGCCCTCCAGGGAGGAGGAGGAGGAGGAGGAGGAGGAGGAGGAGGAGGAGGCGGAGGAGGAAGGATGCCGGCGCCAGCGGCGGGCGCAGCGCAGTCCGCGGACGGCCGCGTGCCCGTCTGGGGAGTGCACGGCCGCACGGGACGGATCGTGCGACTCCCCGAGACGCGCGGGAGGCACGGCACGGTTCGAGCACGACGATGCGATCTCCTTCTCTGTCTCTCTGCCTCTCTGTCTCTCTCTCTCTCTGTCTCTCTGTCTCCCTCCCTCTCGCGCAGCTATGTCTCGCGAGAGCCGAGTGAAGCGAGCGAGCGAAGCGACTGCGAGTCTCACAAGAACGCGCGTCCCAAGAGTGGAGAGCACTGGAGCTCGAGCCGCTCGGAAGGTAAGCAAAAAAATACTACTTCAATCTGTCTTCAACCGTTGCGTCTGGACGCCTCCTCGGTGGGTTTGCCTGTTCGTTGCGCCTGTTTTACTTGCTGGCTTGCTCCGCCGTCATTGTGTCATCGGGGATCTCTTGGGCTTGGTAGCCGCGGTACACAGGGCGGACGACGCGGGGTACTTTGGGATCGGCTGCGGCAGTGGGGCCTGGCGGCCACAGCATGCAATCACACACAGACACCAAGAACATACAGTAACAATGGGATCACATTCGGATTTCGAAGGGCTACTCATCGGAGCGCAAACTGGGACACAGACAGTCCCCTGCCGGACACAGAAAGCCTCACCATGACACATAACGCCAGTTTGAATACAGATATCTTTTTCTGGCCAGGAAGGGGGGGCAGAGAGGAGCGTTCGGGCTGACGCGGGAAGCTGGAGCGACCTCGTCAGACGTTTGTCATGGACGCGTATCAGCTGGGCATCGCGACAAAGGCAGGCCTACAACTGCAGTAGGCAGATGATAGAGGAGAGACTGCTTGACTCCTTCTCCTTCTTGTCCTCCTCCGCCCCGCGGTTGATGCCTGGCTTGTTGGGCCAGCGACGGGCATGGCTGCTGATCAAAGCTGGCCAGGACGGAGCTTAGATAACCGTTTCGGCCAAAGCCGCCCCAGAGCGGAACCCAGGTGGTTTTGCGTTTTCAATCGTTGATGATGGGGAGGCCCATGCGGACGTTCTTCCTGTTCGTGGTTACATTTGCGCTTTCAAGCGGTGCCCCGCACATCAGAAGTCCTGGCACTCCTCGTGAGGGCGTTAGTCGGTCGCAAGTCTTGGGAGCCTGATGTACCCTCTTAATTCCGGCTTTAGCGTCGATTAGCGTCTGGGAGTCGATGAGATAGCGCCGATGTAGCGTCGGTTAGCGTCGATTAGCGTGCTGATGAGCGTCGATTTAGCGTCGACTAGCGTCAATTCGCAAAGCCGACAATATGGTATGGCAGGCTCCCATGAGTTGCCACCGAAGCTTTAGTCAGGTTCTCCCTTGGGCAGGCCGCGCTCGTCGGTGAGCTTATGCCTTGCGGAGCACCGTCTCGGCTCTCCCGAAGGCGTGCTGCGCCTGTGCCCTCCGGCGCCGGACCCGGGCGGATCCATCTCTCGGGAGTCTGTTGGGACCTCCTCTTGGTTTCCTTCTCCTCCTCCTCCTCCTCCTCCTCCTGGTGCTTTGCTGGGCCATCTCGGAGCCTCTCGGACAGCATCTTTGGGCGGCGAGCGAGGGTGGGAAGTGAGGAGGAGAAGGCCTCCTCAGGAGGCGGCCGGGCTTCTCGGAGGCCCCTTGCGCCTTTCGAAAAGTGTTCTGCGCCTCTGGGGAACGCTCAGAAGGCCGGGGGACTTCCGAGCCTTCTGAGAAGGCCCGCCCCTTATCACTGCTCCCCCGGCCTCGCCGCCGAGTCTTGGGGCCTTTAGGGGCCCCCTTAAGGCTTTTCTCGGGCTGTGCCGAGGTTGTCTGGGATTTCTGGGGGCATCCTGGAGCCAACTCGGGATCTCGGGGCCTCCAGAGGCCACCTCGGGGTCATCTTGGGGTCTTGGGACCACATTGGGGCAACTTGGGATGAGGAGCTGCGGCTAGCAGAAAACGTCAAGGCGGGGTGAAGGTAGTAAGGATTTTGCCAGAAACATTGAATGTTCTTCCACGATGTGTTGCCTCCTCGGATCGTCTGGAGGCCCTATTTCGTGTGCTTTCGGGTCCCTCTTGGACTGGCTTGGGACCGCTTGAAGGCCATCTTGGGCCGTCTTCGGCTCTTGGGGCTGACCTAGCATGCTTGCGCCGTCTCAGACTGTTCCAAGACCGAGAAGGCGACAATGCAACATACGTACAACACCCGCAGAAGCCAATCTGCTGGGTGGCTGACTGGGGGCGCTCTTGGGCAGCCTTTCGGCGAGGCCATCCGCGCTGCGCGGTCTGGGAGGCAGGCCACGAGCCTCTCGGGGCCGCTTGTTGCTGGTCTTTGGAACAGTCGGGGGTTGACAGACCTCCTGCCCTGACACGTCGATTCAGGAATTGGCCGTTTTCGGTTCGCGAGAGGGCGTCGCGGCCGTTCTTTTTGCGGGTCCAGGTCCGTCGGTTTCGGTCCCCAGCCGATTTCACTAATGGGAGGTTTACTAAAGGGAGGTTTGTCCACCGCCGAAACAGACGACGTCGCCAGCATCGCAGATGCCCCCCCATGGCACCGTCGACGAGGCCCCTCCCGCGTGCACACCGGCCCGAGCAGGCAGGGCAGAGGGGAAGGGGGGAGCAGAGCAGCGAGCAGGGCGAGGGAGGAGAGGTTCGAAGAGGAGACGGAGGAGGAGGAGAGAGAAAGAAACGGAGGAGGAGGAGGAGGAGGAGGAGGAGGAGGAGGAGGAGGAGGAGGAGGAGGAGGAGGAGGAGGAGGATGAGGAGGAGACGGAGGAGAAGAGAGAGAAACGTATCCTGGCGAAGGACCCAACCATACGTAGTTGTGAGTAGCGCGCTGTGGGTGCCGCGTTCGCCCTATGGGACCGCGCATCGTGCGAGAGGCGTGCCGAAATGGGGCGGCACAGCCATGCGGACCCTGCCACTGGCGCCTTCCTTTGGTGGAGTTTCCCATGGGGCCACGAAGCGTGTGAGGGGTGTGCCGAAATGAGGGTGGAGCTCCCTATAGGGCATCGAAACCCCGCACTGGGTGTGGCGGACGCATGCGGGCACCCCCACCGGGGCCTTCGGTAGAGCTCCCTATGGGACCACGAAGCGCTGCACTGAGTGGGGGAACCGCCTGCGGACACCCCCTCTAGGGCCTTCGGTGAAGCTCATGGGGCCACGAAACGTGTGAGGGGTGTGCCAAAATGGGTGTGGGGACCGCATGCGGGCTCCCCCACTAGGGCCTTCGGTGAAGCTACCTATGGGGCCACGAAACGTGTGAGGGGTGTGCCAAAGTGAGGGGGGTGACGGGAAGAGGGGGGAGGAGGGGGAGGGGGAGGAGGAGGAGGAGAGGAGGAGGAACGTGGGGGCCATTTCTTCAAAACGAGAACCCAGCACCACAGGATGGTTGGGGTACAAAAAGACAAGCCAGGTTATCTGGCGCCATGTCCGACATCCTTTCCCTCCCATCCATCCCTTCCTGTTGCGCTGTTATTTTCTCCATTCGCCGACTCGTGTCATAGCAGGGCTGGAATTCCAGAGAGGACAAGAGGACCCCATCGTGTGATGCGCAATTGGAGAGAGGGGAGCTGCGTACATTGGAGGCGGAGGTGGCGGATGAGCAGGGGGAGGATCAGGAAGCAGAGGGAACAGGACGACCAGCAGCAGCAGGAGCTGGAGCGGATGGAGCGGGAGGAGCAGGAGGACCAGGGGAGTGCGGAGAAGGGGAAACGAGGGAGGCGGCAACCACGAAACAGGAATCGGATCCAGAAAAGTGGCCTGCGCTGGGGCGGGAGCTGTATTCTGAACGACGGGAGCAAAGCGACGATCCGAAAATAAAGCCCACGCTGCAGCGGGAACACTATTTGAAACACTGAAAGCAGTCAGATTGCAAACGAAGCCCCCAAAACATATTTGTTTGGACATCTTGTGTGTCAGCAGGAGGCCGCTGAAAGTGGGTCTTACTGGATTCCCAGATCCGAGAGAGCATGATCCACCGCCGCTTTCACCCCCTCTTCCTCCGGAACCCGGGGGTCCCCCCCCTACAAAACTTCCCCCCCCTCTGCTGGACCTCCCCTCCACTCCCCCCCCTTCGCCTGGCACCTCCCCGCCCCCCTAACTCCTCCCCTCTCCCCCCCCTCTGGAAAACCCGGGGGGGGGGGGTCACTACCAGTTCGAACCCCCCCCGCAGAAAACCGGGGGAGGGTCATTACCGGTTCGAACACCCTCCCACACTCACCGCCGGCAAACGTCTGCCGGGTCCCTACCACCGTCCGCACCACATTCACTCCGCTGTCCTTAGCACCACCGTCACCACCACCACTGTCCCCACTTTTCCCACTGGCGTCTGCACTGTCTCCACCACTGCCCCCACCACTGTCGCACTGTCCCCACTGTCCCCACCACTGTCCCCACCACTGTCCCCACCACTGTTCCCACCACTGTCCCACTCTCCCCACTTTCCCCACGGTCCCCACCACTGTCCCACTGTCCCCACTGTCCCAAGTGTCCCACTGTCCCACTGTCCCCGCCGCTGTCCCACTGAGCTGTCCCACTGTTCACACCACTGTCCCCACTGTCCACACCACTGTCCCCACTGTACCCCTGTCCCATTTTCCCACAACCGTCCTCACCACCGCCCTCACCACTGCCCCCACCACCACCACCGTCCCCACCACTGTCCCACTGTCCCCACTGTCCCCACCACTGTCCCACTGTCCCCACACCATTGTCCCCACCACCACCGTCCCCACCACTGTCCCACTGTCCCCACCACTGTGCCACTGTCCCCACTGTTCCCACTATTGTCCACTCTGTCCCCACCAGTGCCCCGTGTCTCACTGTCCCCACTGTTCTCACCATTGTCCCACCACGGTCCCACTTTCCCCATTGTCCCCACTGTCCCCACCACTGTCCCACTGTCCCCACTGTTCCCGCCACTGTCCCACTGTCCCCACTGTCCCCGCCGCTGTTCCACTGTGCTGTCCCTCTGTCCCACTGTCCCACTGTCCCCACCACTGCCCCACTGTCCCCACCACTCTCCACACTGTATCACTGTCCCTCCACTGTCCTCACCACCGCCTTCACCACTGTCCCCACCACTACAGTCCCCACCACTGTCCCCACTGTCCCAACTGTCCCAACCACTGTCCCGCTGTCCCCTCATCACTGTCCCCGCCACCACCGTCCCCACCACTATCCCACTGTCCCCACCACTGTCCCATTGTCCCCACACCAGTGTCCCCACCACCACCGTCCCCACCACTGTCCCAGTGTCCCCACCACTGTCGCACTGTTCCCAGGAGCGGGAATCGTTTGCCGGCGGCGCTGGGGGGGGGTTCGAACCCATGGCAGTGACCCCCCCCTCTTTTCATGATGGCTTGGGATGGGGGGCAGGGGGGGGGGGTTCGAACCGGTAGTGACCCCCCCGGTTTTCGAGGGGGGGTGGGGACGGGTTGGGGGGTTGGGATCCACCAGTGACCCCCTGTGTTTTTTCGCGCCAGCAGCGGAAGAACACGCTCTTTTCCAGATCCCAATATACTTGGTGCTCCTTCCTACAAGCGTTCGAGTGGATTTTCCCCTTCTCTTTTGTTGAAAGGGGGGCGGCGATCCAATCTACTTTCAACGCCTTCCTACTTCGCGCTTCTACCCACTTCGTCCGACCGATGGGTACGCGGAGAGGGCCGAACAGTTTCAGGACCGAATGAAGGCAGAGATGGGAGTACTGTTCATAATGTGCAACCGTGGAGGATGATAAGGAGAAGGAGAAGGACAATAACAAATATACCGAGAAGGAGAAGGAGAAGGAGGATGAGTAGAAGGAGGCGGAGGGGGAGGAGGATGAGAAATGGGGGAGAAGGGAGCAGGTGGTGGAGGAGTGGATGGGGGCGGAGGGGGGAGCAGGAGGGAAAAAGGAGGGATGACGTGGGAGGAGGAGGAGGAGGATGGATGGATGGAGGAGGAGGCTGAAGGAGAGGCGGGATGGGGCAAACTGGGTGCGTTTGCGCCATGGACGGGGAGGCGGACGAGCACGCTCTCGCTGCACGGCGGCTCCCCCGCAGGCGTCGCCGTGTACGCCGCCGACGAGAGGGCGTGGGCCCTGCTGGCGCAGGGGGTCGCCGAGGTGGCCGCCCCGCCGAGCGGGAGCGCACTTCGCGGATGGGGAAGGGGGGGGGAGCAAGAGGAGAAATAGGAGGATGCTGCTGCTGATGCTGAGAAAGAGCGTGCTCTACCGCTGCTGGCGGAAAACCAGGGGGGGTCACTACCGGTTCGAACCCCTCCCCCCCCCCCCCCCCAAAACCGGGGGGTCACTACCGGTTCGAACCCCTCCCCCCCCCCCAGCTCATCATGAAAAGGGGGGGGGGGTCACTACCGGTTCGAACCCCCCCCCCCCCCCTCGAAAACCGAGTGGGGGTGCGGACAGTGGTGGGGACGGTGTTGGTGGGGACAGTGGTGAGGGGACAGCGGGACAGTGGTGGGGACAGTGGGACAGTGGGACAGTGGGGACGGTAGTGGTGGGGACAGTGGTGGGGACAATGGTGGGAACAGGGGGGACAGTGGACAGTGGTGGGAACGGTGGTGGTGGGGACAGTGGTGTGGGGACAGTGGGAATGAGGTGGAAACACTGGGACAGTGGAGGGTACAATGGTGGTGGGGACACTGGTAAAGGCGGTGGCGAGGACGGCGGTGGGACAATGGGACAGAGGTACAGTGGGGACAGTGGTGGGGACAGTGGGGACAGTGGTGGAAACAGTGGGACAGCTCAGTGGGACAGCGGAGGAGTCAGTGGGACAGTGGGGACAGTGGGGATAGGCAGTGGTTGGGTCCGTGGAGACAGTGGGGAGAGTGGAACCGTGGTGGGAACAGTTGTGGGAACAGTGGGGACAGTGCGACAGTGGTGGGGGCACTGGTGGGGACAATAGGGACGGTGGTGGAACCAGTGGGGACAGTGGTGGTGAGGACAGTGGTGCTGGGAACAACAGTGGGGGATGTGATGCGAGCGGTGGTAGGGACCGGGAGTCGTTTGCTGGCGGTGCGTGGGGGGGGGGGTCGAACCGGTAGTGACCCCCCTCCGGTTTTCGAGGGGGGGGGGGGGGGGGGGTCCAACCGGTAGTGACCCCCCCGGTTTTCCGGATCCGGAGGGGGGGGGGGGAGGGGTTCGAACCGGTAGTGACCCCCCCGGTTTTCGAGGGGGAGGGGGGGGGGGGGGGGGGTTAGGGGGGGGAGGGGGGGGGGTTTTGCCGGGAGGGAGGGGGGGGGGGAGGGGTTCCGGCAGGGGGGGGGGGGGGGATTGCAATTTTCCACAGTAAAGCGGCGGTGGATCACGCTCTCTCGATGCTGATGATGCTGCTGCTGATGATGCTGATGATGATGCTGATGATGCTGCTGATGCTGATGATGCTGCTGCTGCTGATGATGATGGTGATGATGACGACGATGACGATGTATGCGATGATTATGCCTCCTAAGGCTTACGCCACATCTGCCGAGCGTGTATATTTTCCTGTTTTTTTTTTTCGGGCGTCGTTTTGCGTGCTGCGGCACTCTATTGGGCTGTCTTGGTCTCCGTCGGTCACTGGAAGCGCTCCGAATATCCAGTGCTTACACGTATGTGTAGCAGTGAACGTGGCGTGATGTTTCGTCGGGTGTCCTCTAACAACTTCTTTGGATGCCCCCTGGGGGCCGCCCAGACGCTTTCGCAATTGTGGTGCGCAGTGGGGATCCCGGTGGGGGTCACCAACTCTGATTTTTCCAGGGGCTCCCGCCCTGGAGACCTTTGTGCTTACTATGCTCTGTTCGGGCTCTTTCAGCGCGGGGTATGCAGGGGGTGCATCTGATACGGGCCAGAGCAGTGGGGAACCCCCTCTCCAGGTGGAAGACTTGGGTTGGAGGGGGAATCGCGCTGGGACCGCTGCCGCCCTCAGCGGCTGGACGGATTCTTCGAGTATCTGGCTGTCCGCTTCTACAACGACACGGGTACTCCAGATTTCGTAATAAAAGGGAGGGGGTCTGGACCCTCCAAGACAAGCCACTTCAGACCTCCCCCGTGGGAGAACCCTCCAACACATCGTCCCCAGACCCCCCCAGGCCCTCCAAGATGGCCTGGAAGAGACCCCCCCCCCGAAATGAGACCCCCCTCCCTTTCTTACGAGATCGGGAATATCTGACTGTCCGTTCCTACAGCGACACGGGCACCTTAGGTGCGCATCCCAGGTCACGGTCGCCTGCGTGACCCGCAGACGACCTCGCGCATGCCAGGCGCGCTCCTCTCGGAGCGGGGTCTCGCGCGGGGCCCGGCGCCCCCCCGTGCGGGGGGGGGGGGGGGCGCCCGTCGTCCGCCCCCCGCGCGTCTGCGTGGGCCCCCGAGGCGGCTGTGCGATCGGATGGCGCCACGACTGCGCGGGAAGCGGGGGAGGGGGGAGGACGAGGAGGGAGGAGGAGGGAGGACACGAGAGGAGGAGGAGGGAGGACAGGAGGAGGAGGAGGAGGAGGAGGAGGAGGAGGAGGAGGAGGAGGAGGAGGGGAGGAGGAGGAGGAGGGAGGGATAGGAAGAGGAGGAGGAGGGGATATGAGGAGGAGGAGGAGAAGAGGAGGAGGAGGAGGAGGAGGGAGGAGAGGAGGAGGAGGAGGAGGAGGAGGAGGAGGAGGAGGAGGAGGAGGAGGATGAGGAGGAGGAGCATTCGGTTGAGCATTCGGTAGGTGGTTATACCCCGCAGGGTAGCGTCCATCCCGGGCCGGGTGGAAACACCCCGCAGGGCCTATATCCCCGCGGCTCCGGGGTGGGGGCGTTGTCCCGCAGGACCTGGCCCTGGAGAGCAGCAGGCTGGAGTACGGAGAGGAAGAAGACGGAGAAGTTGAAGAGGGAGGGCCGGGCGGAGGAGGAGGACGAAGAGGCGGAGAAGGACGACGAGGGGGAGGGAGGGAGGGGCCCGCAGGCCGGGGAGGGGCCCGCAGGCCGGGGAGGGGCCCGCAGGCCAGGGAGGGGCCCGCAGGCCGGGGAGGGGCCCGCAGGCCAGGGAGGGGCCCGCAGGCCAGGGGAGGGGCCCGCAGACCGGGGAGGACCCGCAGGCTTATGCAATCGCATGTTTTTGTGCGACCCCGCCTTGCCGTGGTCACGCCGCGCGCCCCGCGCACCCGCACGCGTGCACGAGGGTGGCGGTGAGGAGCCCGAGGTAGCGGACCTTCTCGGCGAGCGCGTCGAGGGCGTCCGCGTCGCGCAGCACCCACGCGGCCACGGCGTCACAGCCGAGGGGCCGCCGCTCGCAGAGCGCGTCCCGGAGGCCTCGGCCAGCGGGGCACTGGGCCAGCAGGTGTTCGAGGCTGCTCGGCGCGCCCGCGCAGAGGGCGCATATCTGCGGAAGCCTCGTTTGGGGAAGCCCCCAGACGTCCGCAGGGATCTTCGAGGTCACGCGTGCCACGCACCAGGCCCTGTGAAATCTCCACGTCGACTTCCCCCACCCGGCCCATCGAAGGTCGACGGGCCACTGCCCTTGCAAGGGCAGCACCTCGGCGATGGGCAGCAGCCCGTCGTCGTTGAGCTTGCCCAGCTGTTCACAGAACCACGCGCGCTCCGCCTCGCGGATCTTCGGCAACACCGCCGCGCGGGCCCACGAGCGAACCGCCTGCCGCCTGGCCTTCGGCCCCGCCTCCGCCGCGTCGGCCAGGTGGAGCGGGGGCGCGGACACGCCGTGCGTCTGTGCCACCGCCGCAGCATCCTGCAACCAAGTGCCGCCTCTGGCCGCCAGCGCCGCCCGGATCGCTGGCGCCACCGGCGAGTCCTGCGGCAGGAGGAGCACCCGAGCCCACGCTGTGATGATCCGCGTCGCGACCTTGGCGGCAGCCCTCGTGAGCAGGCGCGTCTCGAGGAAGGCGCGCACGTGGCCGCCCGCGCCGAGGGACGCAGACGGAGGAAGGCCGAGCAGCGCCTTAGCCACGTCGTAGAACACGCGGTTCAGCTGCGCAGCAACCTCCTTCCAGCCCCGCGCGTGGCTGGCCAGCAGTTCGGCCCCGTGGTAAGCCGCTGCTTCCACGCGGGCAGGGAGTTGGCCGGACTGGAGGGGCAGCCCGAGGCCCCGGTCCGTCAACGCCGCTGCCAGGCGCCGCGCTCCGTCGCGCAGCCTGCCGCACGCGCGGGCCAGCAGCGGCTCCAGCGACAGCGCGTCGTCGATGACGACGCCCAAAACATCGAGCTCTGTGGCTGGGCGAACTGGGGCCCCATCCACAGCGCCGCAGGCCGCTTGGACCGGGGCGGGGCCGCCCACTGCCATGGCCGCTGGGCCCTTTGCGCCTCCTTGGAAGCGGTGTCTGTAGAAATGACAGAACTTCGTTAAACCGGCATTGGCCCGCGCAAGCCCCGCCTCGTCTGGCTGGAGGACGAACGTGTCGTCCACGAACTGCACCATCAGGAGTGACATCGCGGCATCCCCCGGCTCGGTGGGGTCCAAACAAACCCCCGGCGTCTCCGCGCGGCAGCATTCTAGGAGCGCCCTTATTAAGGAGCTGAACAGGTGCACCCCCGCTCGGCGCCCCTGGCCCACGCCGAAGCCGACGAGGGCGTGGATCGGCCCGACCAGCGGGCCCAGGCGAAGGCGAACGGATTCTTCGCCCACGGAGGCGGCGGCGGCAAGCCAGAAACGGCCGCGCACTCCGGCGAGCCTGAGCTGCACGAGGACCGCGTCCCGCCAAGCCAGGTCGAACCCGTGGAGCAGGTCCGCTTTCTCGATGATCGTGCGCCGCCCCTGCCGCAGGCGCACTTGCAGGGCGAGCAGGAGTCCGACGGCCATGAGGCCTGCGTCGAACCTCCCGCCGGCCTGCTCTTCCCCCGCAAAGCGTTCCAGGAGGGGGCGGGTGACCGCCAGCCACGCCGCATCCAGGTACCCCTCCAGGTCGTCGACGTAACTGATCGGCCTAAGGTTTACTACGTCTGAGACGACCAGTGGGCCTTTCTTCCGAATCGGCGCGACCTCTCTCACCCACGCTGAGGCCCCCAACCCGACCACCAGGCTGAGATTCAGCAGCGCCCATGTGGCCAAGCGGCCGCAACCTCCCGTGGCCTTGGCCGCGGCGCGCGGGAGGTGCAACGTCCGCCTCCCTGCCTTGGAATCACGGACCACCTGTTCCACG